TCGGTGCAGGCTCCATTGCAACAAGTCAGGCCGGACGCGCACTATCGAGCACCAGTTAGTCGTCGTCACAAATGTAGTTTCCGGCCGTCTTACACATTGACTGTCACAAGAAGAAGAAGGAGGATCGCAATCTGCTGGCACACAAATGCAGGATCTGTTTCACATCAGCTTTCAGACGGCTCTGCAATTCCAGGACGAATCGAGAAAGAGACTAACGGCGTAGTTTGTCCAAGGATAAGTCCAAGTAAGCTGGGAGATCCACTGCCGTTGTCACAGTAACCTGATTGGTCACCTAATCTCCGGCACTTAATTGAATCAGTATGTCAGTATCATATAACCTCTACTGATATCCACGAATCTTACTTTAGCGTCACAAGCCGCCGGGTCACAGCCACTCCCACCCCCAACTCCAACCCCGATGTCCCCAATGTCACCACCCCCGGTGCTGATATTAACCCCACCACCATCCCCATTCCCAATATTGTTGCCCCCATGGGAAACCTTATCTCCACCTCTAGGCCCACCCCACTTTTCTAGAGCTTCTTCTCCAGTGAGGGCATTGACCAAAGCACCGCACAAAAAGGTAAGAAGAGCGAAACGCATTTTTGCAAAGGCGTTTGCTTAAACCGAGAAGTCAATTTGGTGGAAGAGAATATCAGTATGAGCCCGTCGTACCGTTTGTGGTAAAGAAGAACAATTCGTCCTAGCCTCCCTGCGAAAGCTGTTATATGTACTGTGCTCACGGTCATTCACTAACTGCCTAAGTTTTGTACCACTAATGGAATGTTTGGGCTTGTTTCCTAGAATGAAGATCACACACATTTTCTCTAGTTATACGGACGATAAGGTAACATTCTTTTTCTCGACTGCTCTAGGACAGGCCTACAGAATACGTCGAGTGATCTACATTAAACTTGTATGTGCCCCTTACTTTGTCTGGGATGGTAGGATATAGCCAGAAGTAGCCTCCGTCTAGTAGGAGCGTATATTATTATTATCAGGATCAGATATATCGTGATACCTAAGCGCCCTAGAAAGGGGAATAGGCAAGAGAGGCGGTAGTCTTGGCGTCCTGTCGCATTAGGCCCGAAAGTATATACGAACGAGCGCAGAGTAATTATCCATCTGAACTGAAAAAGTTAATACTATCCACCGTTCTTAGAACTTTCTTTCTCGCTGAGCCGAGCCTGTTATGAGATTTAAATAGAGAATAAGAATATGCTATGATGTTTTTGATAGAATAAAACTCGCTACCTCTTCCTAATCGTACCTCGTCTCTCTCACACTCGGTAGCAATTTGATAAGGGGTTGGGAATATAGGCGGAGGACCCCGAAGCCTCAAGGTTTGATGGGAATGGAGTGTTGTTTCCCAGACACAGTAAGCACGCACGGGCGACCAATCAGATCCCATATAACTCTACTCTGGTTGCCAGAATATTTTGCCGGCATTTATGCGCATGCCATAAACCTCTGGATTCCAGAGAATGTGGGTGATCTACATCCTAGGAAACAAGTCCAAACATTCCATTAGTGGTACAAAACATAGGCAGTTAGTGAATGACCGTGAGCACAGTACATATAACAGCTTTCGCAGGGAGGCTAGGACGAATTGTTCTTCTTTACCACAAACGGTACGACGGGTTCATACTGATATTCTCTTCCACCAAATTGTCTTCTCGGTTTAAGCAAACGCCTTTGCAAAAATGCGTTTCGCTCTTCTCACCCTTTTGAGCGGTGCTTTGGTCACTGCGCTCACCGGAGAAGAAGCTCTAGAAAAGTGGGGTGGGCCTAGAGGTGGAGATAAGGTTTCCCATGGGGGCAACAATATTGGGAATGGGGATGGTGGTGGGATTGACATTGACACTGGGGGTGGCGACATTGGGGATATTGGGGTCGGGATTGGGGGCGGAGGTGGCGGGGGTAGTTGCGACCCCGCCGCTTGTGACGCCAAGGTAAGATTCGTGGATATCTAAAGAGGTTGCTAACACTAACATACTGATTCATTAAGTGCCGGGGATTAGGTGACCAATCAGGTTACTGCGACAACGGCAGTGGATCTCCCAGTTTGCTTGGTCTAATCCTTGGACAAACTACGCCGTTAGTCTCTTTCTCGATCGTCTTAGGATTGAAGAGCCGTCTGAAAACTAACATATAATAGAAGCTGCATTTGTGTACCAGCAGATTGTGATCCTCAGGTAAGACGGCCGCAGATTTCATTTATGACGACGACTAACTGTGCTCGATAGTGCGCGTCTGGCCTGACTTGTTGCAATGGGGACTGTGTAAATCTCCAAGACAGTGAAAGTAACTGTGGCTCCTGTGGAAATACCGTGGGTTATCATCCGTTGCTAGTTCAGGTGAAATCACTGACCTTCAATGTTACAGTGCGCAGCAGGTGAGGCCTGCTGTAATGGAGCCTGTACCACTATTTGTAATGGGAATTGATATCCTTGATCAAACCACGCTGTTAGTTTCCTTCTCGACCTTCTTGGCTTTGCGGATTTATTTTGAAGCTAATACGAAACAGAGACTGAATTTGCTGATATCAGCCACGACTTCAGCTTGTACTACGACTGCTCCAGTCATTAAAACCGCCAAGGATACAACAATACCCACGGCCACAACCACCACTACCGCTACCATTTGCCCTACTGCGGTATGCTAACATAATCGCATTGCACGTGTTACTCGTCCAAATTTGACATTTCCAACTTCCACTCGTTTCATTCCTTTCCTTCAGTTTTCAACCCCCAACTTGCGGGTGACTTGAAGTTTTTGCCCTCGCAAGTGATTAATTGGCTTTCATTTGCCGAGGACCTTGATATCAATTATTATCAATTAATCATCAGCATCATTCAACCGTCTTTTGCCTTCTTACTGCTTATATTGTCTCCTTTTCTTGAGGGTATGTATTCTATATCTTGACCAAAAGGCCGGCGTAAAAAGTCATCGGTTTAGCAATGAGATTTAGTTATCTCTCAGAGGATGGTTAGGGGTGAAAAGGTGGGATAAAGTAGTTGTCTAGAGCTCCCCGGGTTGCATCGAGGCTTCTCTTGATAAATTGACAGATGTATCTTCATTTATGCGAAGGCTCGGACCATGCCGGGTGGAGCCAGAATAGGACCCATCAGGTGAGATGAACATCGTTGCTGGGCCATAACTTCAATCTATGAGTTTTAATTCAATAACTATTACTACCTGCACCTCGCAGCCGTTATATTCAACAACACTGTGCTAGTGCGACAACGCTTTTAGATCAGGCGGAAAGTGAGGGCCTAGAGAGAATCTCCTACTGCACAGGTCACAACCACAAGCCTTGGCAAGAAATTACGAAATCGGCGGTGTAATCTAGCACGCTTTCATTATGCTACCCTGAGGCTTTTTGAGCATTGAAGCTCAATTATGGACTTGTAGAGTGTGATCGAAGGTCTCCAGCGTTTCTAGAACGTTGACCATGGAAGCAGGCCAAACAGACGGAAGCCTGCTCATTTGGAGACGTGGCAGGGACTCGAATCCCTTAGCTGATCCACAGACCCGCCCCTGCATGGTTCCCCAGGAGGAAAGCGCGAATTCCCATTTATTGTAGCTCTTAATTTCGCTTTGCTCATTTTTTCTACGTACCCCGAGACTCCTGGGAACTGTGATCTTGGGTAGGAGACTATCTAGTATGTAAACAAATGATTGGTGCCTTGTGCCATATAAATGAGACATCAGCAACCCCCATACCTTCTTTTTATTATAATTTATCTCTCTGGCTACTAAGCGACTGGGCTGAGCATATTCAGATTCACTGTCGCTATGGTAAGTACAGTCATCTACATCTACAGTTTATGATCTTGAGCAATGCCACTAAGCAACACAAGGTTATTGTGGCTTCCTTGAAGACGATATGCCTTATTCGGTGCCACAGGATTGTTGATGATACGACGACCTTTTTGGTAGATGGAATCGTAGGTGCGAAAGAGAGCGAAATCAAAGAAAATTTGCCGTGGGTATTCGATGGATGGAGCCTACCTCCATCCATTGCACTCAACAGGGACTCGTACAGCTGGGTCGAATGCGGGCTCAAAGTCACTTTGGAGGCAAAGTGTAAGACGAAGAAAGACAGGCACCTGGACGTTGTGTGCATTTTAAGGGCCACCCCAAGTGTAAAAGATGATACGGAATTCGATCTTCACGTAGCTCTTTGGCTTACATGCGAAGTGCTTGAGAAAATCGCTCCTTGCCTGTTTAAAAGTTGCAACACAGATCCGGGTATGTATTTCAGCGACAAGGGGAACTCCAAAAAGCTAATTGCCACTCAAAGGCGCTATCGATTTTAAGAATCTCACGGGTTCTAAGAGGGAAGCAGGCATGAAGAATGCTAAGCCGATAAGCCCGCAACGCCGGCCACGTCGCTCCGTCAGAATTCAAAATCTACGCCAGATGCGAGACTGAGATTCAGTGCTTTTGGGGGTTCAAATTAGAAGCAAGAACATCACATAGCAAATCAAGCGACGCAAAACTGTTGGGCGGTGTCAAGGAGGTACAGGATGGATCAGAGACATTTTCACCATATAAAGTACTACTGTACATGTAGCTAGTTGATGAATGGCGTGTCATTTTCGAAATAGCATATATAAGGGCCTTTGAAAATACGTATTCGTTACTGTAGCCCATCGCTAGTTCCCAACCTACCACACTCTCTAATTCATCACTCTCCCTCAATTCATCACTCTCCCTCAATTCATCACTCTCCCTCAATTCATCACTCTCCCTCAATTCATCACTCTCCCTCAATTCATCACTCTCCCTCAATTCATCACTCTCCCTCAATTCATCACTCTCCCTCAATTCATCACTCTCCCTCAATTCATCACTCTCCCTCAATTCATCACTCTCAATTCATCAGTTACGTGCCCCAGTCATGTTTTTTTGGTACGTTCAATATCAATGAACCTGCGTAAGCGATCGAATTTACCTATCTCTCTGAACGTCTATCCGACGAAGTCTCTTCAATTCATCAGATTTGTTGGGCAGACCAAGACAATACAGCCATATTTTACTCACAACCATATTATTGAACAACCTACCTTGTCCACAAGCTTCTAGCCATCACAGAATGAATTGAAGCAAGATTGAAACTTCCGCATTACTATTACACAAGTTTTGACCAAATCCATATTGATCCAAGCGGGCCTACTAAACATACGAAGAAACGGTTCATGACTGAAACATACGTGTTTCCAACATACCTTCATGGGGTGTAAATTTCCGCAATTGTGGCTCGTCGTAATTTACTGTGGCTGTGCGGTCAAGCATTTGCCCTCAGTACAATACGGTACATACCGTGTAACGGAATTCCCACTCAAACCTACATAGAAATATATTACCGATCAAGGGGCCATCAGCCAAACATTCTGTCTATCCAGTCTATTCAATCCAACGTCTAAGACATGCTTCGAGACCAGTATATGATGACTAATCCGTGAGTAGGCTTTGAGTATCAAATTCAGCAAATTCGCAATGCCGTGGTGAGCTGGGGGTCTCTAGTG